CCATACATATTTGCTTTCCAAGCAGTTCAAATTCTCACTCTTGAGATATTTCTAATAAGATCTTGATAGAATTTCCTCAGGATTTTTTCAGTTTAGGAATCTAACAACGTGCTTTATTTTATTGCCTAAACATAAACTCTTAAAGGACTTAAGCTTACTGAAACCGTTTTTGATAATAATCGGTAAGATTCTTCATTGCACACTACGAATCAATTTCTCAGATTTCTATGTTTTCTCCTCTCGAGAACTTCCATAGGATTAACTTTACTCTTCTCAATATTTCAGGAATGCTTATTCTCGAAAAACCTCTCTTTCCAACAATCTTAAAATGTAAGCTTTATCCACTTGTGAAAATGTTACTTTTTAGAATCCAAAATATCTTGCTAAGAACTTGAACAAATCTCTTTAAACATGGATTCTTAGAAGAATCGTTACGAAGTTCTTGTTTTTTCAAAGAAAACTAGGATAAGATTTCCCAATTTATGTCTGCATGGAAGAACCTTTTCTTGATTTGAGTATATTAAGAAGAGATATTCTCGAAACTTTTACCATTTTCTCTTTGAAGAAGAAGAAGAAGCTCTTATTCGTAGGCAATGATGATGATTTTTCTTTTTCTTTCTCTCGTTCATTGTAGTAATGCTCAATATTCCAGTCGATGCCCGATGGCAACAAGATGGAGTGACTGTTGCTGGAGGCCATGGATTCGGCGATGCCACCAATCAATTCAAGAAACCTCAAGGTCTCTCCATTGATGATAATCAAACGATGGTCATCGTTGATTCTTGGAACCATCGTGTCATTCAATGGAAGATCGGCGATACCAATGGCCAAATAGTAGCTGGAACCCATGGTCAAGGAAGTCGATTGGATCAATTGCATACTCCAACCGATGTGTTGATTGACAAAGAGACGGATAGTCTTATTATCTGTGATCGATGGAATCGACGAGTTCTACGATTGTCTCGTCGTAGTGACACAGTTCAAGGAGAAATCCTCGTGGACAAAATCATGTGTTTAGGATTGGCTATGGATGATCAGAGATATCTCTACGTCTCTGAAGATGATAGAAGTGAAGTAAGACAATATCGAATAGGAGACAAGAATGGAACTTCCGTTGCTGGTGGCCATGGAGAAGGTAATGATCTCAATCAATTCAACTTTCCAGCGTACATCTTTGTCGATCGACAACAAACTGTCTACGTTTCAGACAACCAGAATCATCGTGTGGTGAAATGGGATAAAGGTGCAAAAGAAGGAGTTATCGTCGCTGGTGGTCAAGGCTCTGGAGGTGCTCTGACACAATTGTACTGGCCCCATGGACTATTCGTCGATACGTTGGGTACTCTCTATGTGGCAGAATATGGGAATAATAGAGTGACGCGTTGGCTTAAGGGAGCGACAGAGGGCAGAGTTATTGTGGGTGGAAATGGTGCAGGAGAAGGAGCAAACCAGTTGAACCGACCCACGGGTTTGTCCTTTGATCAATATGGAAATCTCTATGCCGTCGAGTGAGAGAATAATAGAGTTCAACGATTTACTATCAAATAGACTGATTACAATGAATTTTTTTCTTTCCTTTCCTTCAAATAAATCACGTTGAATTGGCAACACAAATGGCTATTCTATTCACGCGCGCGTGACCAGACCAGTGGCGTAGCCAGCAGGGGGTCAGGGGGCTGAGCCCCTCCTGGCGAAATTTTAGAAAGACATATTCTTTTTATACCAAAATAGATTAGTGTTTGCAATTTTACCTTTTAACATATATATTTAATTTTGTGCAACTTATATGTCTTTGAATAAATGAAAATACAGTAAATGCAAATACAAGTTTTAATGAGGTTTATTAGGTTATGAGTAGTTTGTTTCAGCTTTGCAGGAGGCTGCAGTGATTAGTTTTTATCAGAGTAAAGCGATGTCTGTTGTTGTGAAATCAGAATGAAAGTTCATACGTCTTAGGTAGGTTGTATTGATCATTTTTAAAAAAATTTAGCTTTTTCTTATTTTATTAAATATTTTATATAAATTATTATTTACAATTATATAAAAATTTAACATAGTAATGGAGAGTAAAATATATAAATGTAAATATAAATATATGACAATATATATTATAACCGACGTTTCGAACGTAATACGTTTTTTTTAGAGTTAAAAAATTTTGTTCTTGAATGAGAATAAATATGTGGTTGAACCTTCTTCTTTTTATTCTTCTTCTTTGCTCTTTTCTTGCCTATTTGAATTTTTATACTGGGATGGACGAAGAAAATTAATTTTTACAAGTTAGTTCTCTTCGTCCATTCCAGTATATACGTTTAAATAGGCAAGAAAAGAGCAAAAAAGAAGAATAAAAAGAAGAAGGTTCAACCGCATATTTATTCCCATTCAAGAGCAAAATTTTTGTGTACTCAAAAAGTAAGTACACTCTAGAATCGGTCAGTGTGTCCGACCGAGCGACCGGCCGTTTACGCGATAACTTTTGAAAGCAGAGTTCAATCATGATGAAATTTTCTACACAGTTTTGTCCCAACAATATCTCGGTTGAGTTCGAAGATGAGAATGAATGTCCGAGCCATTGGTGAGTTATTGTAAAAATAATTATTTTCCCCTATGCTTTCCTATGTGAGGATCAACCAGTCCTTGCTTTCGTAAAAGGTTTTCCCGATCATGGTCACATAAAACCCCAATTATTATATACCAGTCGACAGAGAATTTCACGAGCTACAAAATGGTATATAAAACATCAAGAAACAAGGAAGCTAACTCACCTATTGCAAAGATAAATAAACGGAAATCGGTTCTGTTCTTGTCCACGCTCTAATTGATCCACTATTAGAGCTCTATCTTCTGATCGCAAAGGCGATACTCCAGGGTTTTTCGGGATGGAGAACTTGAATTTGTACTCCACTTGCCTCGAAGCTCCATTGATTGAGCACTGGCCAATAGAAATCAAGTTATAGGGGACACGACTTTCTTAGAGTAAATCAAGGCGAAGGCCCCGAACACCGACTAATTCAAAGTGAATTAAGACTGAATTAACGAATAAATCGTTTCAAAAAGACGATTTAAATCGAAATAGACCAATCACGTTGCTTAATTCGTTTTATTTTTTTCTCTATGTCCGGGACCAAATAGTTCAAATGTGAGCTGTATTCACCCCCAAATCCTATTGGTTGAGCAGTAGCCAATTGAATTCAAGTGTCAATAGAAAAGGTTTGCCCGGCTAATTTTTATATCCAGATATTCTAGGATGACTGACTTGTCTCATTCACTTTTTGAAGTACACATAACTCTCGGATATAAATCCGAGGTTTCCGCATTTATTTCATCTATTGTTGTTATTTCAATTGAATGAAGATCGAACATCTTTTGCCATTTTATATCTGTTAGCTCAGCTTATATTTTGAGGAAAGAATCAGAATAAACAACAATCAACTCTATATTGGGTTAACAGATAAGTTTCATATACCTAAGATGGGTCGAAAATTTATGAGGGGCTGAGCCCCCCCTAGCCCAAAATCCTGGCTACGCCACTGCTCCTGACATAACACACACATATATATAATTTTTCTTTCTTTCCTTTTTTCATCCTCGCGTGGCACACTGACATGCTCATACACAGAGGGAGATATCACATTTGAAGCCCTAGATTTTAAAGGGAATAAACCCTTTCATGTTGATTAGCATAATCAAAAACCTGTATTCGGAGTAGTTTTTCGCTTTTCAGCGAAAAGTGTCTTACATGAAATTGCTCTCTTAAAAGGTCTCTGATCTTTCAGGGAAGTAAAATCTAGAAATCGCTTAGATACCAATGTGAAGAGAGCATATCGTGATGCAAACCTGGCAAAAAAATCCCCTCGAAAAAATTTGCTAATTTGTCCTTAATTTCGTAGACTAAAACTGGTCTAAAAAAGTGCTTCTGAAGACCGTTTTCCCACATTGACATGTGCCCCCGACTGTCGTCTATTGAACCCTGAAAACCGCAGGTCGCTATGACTTTCCATTCAAAGGTTATAAGCTTTTCTTCCACACGCCTTCTTTAAAAATTCCGATAGTAGTTTTCAACTACTGACCTTATATCAAATTCTCTGTCTGTTTGCATATGAACAAAAAACTGTATCGCTTCTTCTTTGGGAGTATTTCGAAACAAGTGACCGCAATAAAGCAATTTTCAGCAGTGGTATCAGTGTTGACTCCTGCACTTGCAGGTGTGGCTGTATGTGTGGAGTGATGGTGAGTCAAGCAAACCATAATCCAGATTTCGACCTTGCTTAAGAGTCTCATCAGATGACTTTGACTTTTCTATGCTTATTCGAATGATCCCAATATCTTTGAAAGAAATCATAAACAAAGTATACTAATTTATACAGTGTATTCAAAAGATTATAAAGAATCTAGTAGATTACCGAGGGTGTGGATGCAAATGTTGAACAAATCTATAACTCCAACCACACCCATCACACCAACACCCACACCCTTATTGGGTTCACTTAGTAGCATCGATATCTACCAGCATTAATACATCGGCAGAGACGTTCGGACACTGATTCACACATCTTTTTGCAACGATCAGAATTGAGTGTTTGAAACGTTGACATAATTGATTGTCTGAGTCCCCATACACTTTTAGTCTTGCATTTAGAAACAATTTCATCGAGATGCTTCTACAAGAAGAAGTCTGCATAGGTGTTAGATCAGGTTACCTTGTAGGTCAATCTATAAGAATTCTGCAAACAACTCATCTCGCTGAAAAGCCCACACACCCTCGGAGGTTAATTGTTCAAAGTGATACTCGTACGAACTTGCCCAATTCATGGGTCACTTTTGATTCTGTAACAATTACTTTGCGAATTTTATCTTCAAAAAAAGTTTCTTTGTGAAGCTTTGCTTATATTGTTAAATACATAAAATTAAACAAAGCATGCATTTATTCAAAAGAAAAACTTTTTCTGGTAAAACATATCGACATGCCTGTAAAGCTCGATGAGTAGTCTGTGTGAAGTTTACTTGTATGTAATCAGATATTCGGCAAAGGCTTGAGCATCATGATAAGTGACGAAAATATGCTTCTCATCAGTGGTAGAATCGAATCCAAGTGGTCGAGTTTTCATCGAACTATTTCCTTTCGTAGTTTTTCCTACCAAAACTCGTGCCATAAACATGCATCGTTCTCCATTTGCATTCGGACGCGTATATCCATGACTATAAGATGCATTTGATGAAAAATAAACACCAAAACCATAAACAGTTCCTGAATACAAAAAGACGGGCATGTAAAATCTCTATAAAAACGAAAAGAGATAAAATTACCATTGACTCCGGCAAAACTTCTATTAAAACAATCTTCCATAATTAAACTAGCAGCTTGTTCAGGACATCCATGATATAAGCGTTTTTCGGTATCCTCATTAAGACGTCGTAAGAAATCTTCATAGTGTGCGATGTATTGCCTATACCATCGTTCATTTTGAATTCGTTCAATACGTATTATTTCTGTATACTTTCCTTTCATGGTCACATCAAAGTTCGAAACAATACATTGGTATTCATCTGTCGTGGCGGACACTATGAATCGAATTTTATGTTCGGTCGACTTCTTCCATGTTGGTGGTAATTCAGAAATCTTTGACTCATGAACATCTATGAAAGTTAATTTACGTAGAATGTTGTACATTGTCAAATTTGACGTTTTCACATTAGTTCATATGTAAACCACTGCTTGCTTAAATCGGGACTTAATTTTTCTTTCTCACACAAACAAGGATGATCTTTGAGTCAGCTATGGTAATGTCGTTATATGTACTCTCAAGATCACTTGCTGTTTAAATGTAATCAACACCTTGAAACGGTACACTTGATCGGTTTAAGCTAGATTCATATCACTTAGAAAGATATAGTTTCGCTGAAACAGAACTATTACAACTGTAAGCCGTCGTTTGAATCTACGTATGATAGTTTATAAGCGAATTTAGAAGAGCTCATGCTTACGCATGTTTGATATCAAGTTATAATTGCTTTGATAAATATTCGAACCGTTTATATATCCCCGTAGAAAAATATACTATCACACCATCTTTTTAATATATCATCACTATAAATTGACATTTTGAGAAAAGCCATTATATATTCGGATGGCCCGTGGAATTCTCTACAACTCAATATATGTACGCTTTGAATTGCA